GGATCGGATAGGGCTTGTAAGTAGGGCTTGACTTGAAGAAGGGCTTGAAGAAGGGCTTGAAGAAGGGCTTGAAGAAGGGCTTGAAGAAGGGCTTGAAGAAGGGCTTGAAGAAGGGCTTGAAGAAGGGCTTGAAGAAGGGCTTGAAGAAGGGCTTGAAGAAGGGCTTGAAGAAGGGCTTGAAGAAGGGCTTGAAGAAGGGCTTGAAGAAGGGCTTGAAGAAGGGCTTGAAGAAGGGCTTGAAGAAGGGCTTGAAGAAGGGCTTGAAGAAGGGCTTGAAGAAGGGCTTGAAGAAGGGCTTGAAGAAGGGCTTGAAGAAGGGCTTGAAGAAGGGCTTGAAGAAGGGCTTGAAGAAGGGCTTGAAGAAGGGCTTGAAGAAGGGCTTGAAGAAGGGCTTGAAGAAGGGCTTGAAGAAGGGCTTGAAGAAGGGCTTGAAGAAGGGCTTGAAGAAGGGCTTGAAGAAGGGCTTGAAGAAGGGCTTGAAGAAGGGCTTGAAGAAGGGCTTGAAGAAGGGCTTGAAGAAGGGCTTGAAGAAGGGCTTGAAGAAGGGCTTGAAGAAGGGCTTGAAGAAGGGCTTGAAGAAGGGCTTGAAGAAGGGCTTGAAGAAGGGCTTGAAGAAGGGCTTGAAGAAGGGCTTGAAGAAGGGCTTGAAGAAGGGCTTGAAGAAGGGCTTGAAGAAGGGCTTGAAGAAGGGCTTGAAGAAGGGCTTGAAGAAGGGCTTGAAGAAGGGCTTGAAGAAGGGCTTGAAGAAGGGCTTGAAGAAGGGCTTGAAGAAGGGCTTGAAGAAGGGCTTGAAGAAGGGCTTGAAGAAGGGCTTGAAGAAGGGCTTGAAGAAGGGCTTGAAGAAGGGCTTGAAGAAGGGCTTGAAGAAGGGCTTGAAGAAGGGCTTGAAGAAGGGCTTGAAGAAGGGCTTGAAGAAGGGCTTGAAGAAGGGCTTGAAGAAGGGCTTGAAGAAGGGCTTGAAGAAGGGCTTGAAGAAGGGCTTGAAGAAGGGCTTGAAGAAGGGCTTGAAGAAGGGCTTGAAGAAGGGCTTGAAGAAGGGCTTGAAGAAGGGCTTGAAGAAGGGCTTGAAGAAGGGCTTGAAGAAGGGCTTGAAGAAGGGCTTGAAGAAGGGCTTGAAGAAGGGCTTGAAGAAGGGCTTGAAGAAGGGCTTGAAGAAGGGCTTGAAGAAGGGCTTGAAGAAGGGCTTGAAGAAGGGCTTGAAGAAGGGCTTGAAGAAGGGCTTGAAGAAGGGCTTGAAGAAGGGCTTGAAGAAGGGCTTGAAGAAGGGCTTGAAGAAGGGCTTGAAGAAGGGCTTGAAGAAGGGCTTGAAGAAGGGCTTGAAGAAGGGCTTGAAGAAGGGCTTGAAGAAGGGCTTGAAGAAGGGCTTGAAAGAAGGGCTTGAAGAAGGGCTTGAAGAAGGGCTTGAAGAAGGGCTTGAAGAAGGGCTTGAAGAAGGGCTTGAAGAAGGGCTTGAAGAAGGGCTTGAAGAAGGGCTTGAAGAAGGGCTTGAAGAAGGGCTTGAAGAAGGGCTTGAAGAAGGGCTTGAAGAAGGGCTTGAAGAAGGGCTTGAAGAAGGGCTTGAAGAAGGGCTTGAAGAAGGGCTTGAAGAAGGGCTTGAAGAAGGGCTTGAAGAAGGGCTTGAAGAAGGGCTTGAAGAAGGGCTTGAAGAAGGGCTTGAAGAAGGGCTTGAAGAAGGGCTTGAAGAAGGGCTTGAAGAAGGGCTTGAAGAAGGGCTTGAAGAAGGGCTTGAAGAAGGGCTTGAAGAAGGGCTTGAAGAAGGGCTTGAAGAAGGGCTTGAAGAAGGGCTTGAAGAAGGGCTTGAAGAAGGGCTTGAAGAAGGGCTTGAAGAAGGGCTTGAAGAAGGGCTTGAAGAAGGGCTTGAAGAAGGGCTTGAAGAAGGGCTTGAAGAAGGGCTTGAAGAAGGGCTTGAAGAAGGGCTTGAAGAAGGGCTTGAAGAAGGGCTTGAAGAAGGGCTTGAAGAAGGGCTTGAAGAAGGGCTTGAAGAAGGGCTTGAAGAAGGGCTTGAAGAAGGGCTTGAAGAAGGGCTTGAAGAAGGGCTTGAAGAAGGGCTTGAAGAAGGGCTTGAAGAAGGGCTTGAAGAAGGGCTTGAAGAAGGGCTTGAAGAAGGGCTTGAAGAAGGGCTTGAAGAAGGGCTTGAAGAAGGGCTTGAAGAAGGGCTTGAAGAAGGGCTTGAAGAAGGGCTTGAAGAAGGGCTTGAAGAAGGGCTTGAAGAAGGGCTTGAAGAAGGGCTTGAAGAAGGGCTTGAAGAAGGGCTTGAAGAAGGGCTTGAAGAAGGGCTTGAAGAAGGGCTTGAAGAAGGGCTTGAAGAAGGGCTTGAAGAAGGGCTTTGAAGAAGGGCTTGAAGAAGGGCTTGAAGAAGGGCTTGAAGAAGGGCTTGAAGAAGGGCTTGAAGAAGGGCTTGAAGAAGGGCTTGAAGAAGGGCTTGAAGAAGGGCTTGAAGAAGGGCTTGAAGAAGGGCTTGAAGAAGGGCTTGAAGAAGGGCTTGAAGAAGGGCTTGAAGAAGGGCTTGAAGAAGGGCTTGAAGAAGGGCTTGAAGAAGGGCTTGAAGAAGGGCTTGAAGAAGGGCTTGAAGAAGGGCTTGAAGAAGGGCTTGAAGAAGGGCTTGAAGAAGGGCTTGAAGAAGGGCTTGAAGAAGGGCTTGAAGAAGGGCTTGAAGAAGGGCTTGAAGAAGGGCTTGAAGAAGGGCTTGAAAAGGGCTTGAAGAAGGGCTTGAAGAAGGGCTTGAAGAAGGGCTTGAAGAAGGGCTTGAAGAAGGGAAAGAAGGGCTTGAAGAAGGGCTTGAAGAAGGGCTTGAAGAAGGGCTTGAAGAAGGGCTTGAAGAAGGGCTTGAAGAAGGGCTTGAAGAAGGGCTTGAAGAAGGGCTTGAAGAAGGGCTTGAAGAAGGGCTTGAAGAAGGGCTTGAAGAAGGGCTTGAAGAAGGGCTTGAAGAAGGGCTTGAAGAAGGGCTTGAAGAAGGGCTTGAAGAAGGGCTTGAAGAAGGGCTTGAAGAAGGGCTTGAAGAGGGCTTGAAGAAGGGCTTGAAAGAAGGGCTTGAAGAAGGGCTTGAAGAAGGGCTTGAAGAAGGGCTTGAAGAAGGGCTTGAAGAAGGGTGTGACGAGTAGGTTGCGCTGCCACCGACTAGTCTCTGTGTCTTTAACTTCCCCTCCTTCCCCTTCGCCCTGCGCCCTCCTTCCTCTTCGCCCTGCGCCCTCCTTCCCCTTCGCCCTGTGTCCCTCCTTCCTCTTCTCTGCTCTCGCCTCCCCCTTTCTCCCTACCTCCGCCCCTCCACTCCGTTCTGTGCAGATGTCAGCAGCAGCATTCACCAAGGGTCTGCTGGACCTAGAGGGACAGCTCACGCCCATTCTTGTATGCATGCTGCCGCGTTCCCATCCCGCGTGTTCTTAAGCATGCCACCTCTTCTTCCACAGCACCGCAGCATCCATTCACTGCCTCATTCTTTCCCTGCTCATGGTCACCTCTACACAAAAGAACGTTTCCTTGCATTCCATTTGATCACTCCCCAGTTATGATTCCCTCGTTGTTAACTTCTCATGGGTGTGCCCATGCATGCATGCATGTGTGCGTTGCTTGTGCGAGTGCATGCTTATGTGTGTGCATGCATTCGTTCGTGTGTGCATGTGCGCCTGTGTGTGGGTACACTCGTGCGTGCATGCGCGCGCGTGCGTGGCATGCGCGCGCGTGTGTGTGTGTGTGTGTGTGTGTGTGTGTGTGTGTGTGTGTGTGTGTGTGTGTGTGTGTGTGTGTGTGTGTGTGTGTGTGTGTGTGTGTGTGTGTGTGCATGTGTGTGTGTCCGTGTGCCTGCATGTGTGCGTGTCTGTGTGTGTGCCTCTGTGTGTGTGCCTCTGTGTGTGTGCCTCTGTGTGTGTGCCTCTGTGTGTGTGGCCTCTGTGTGTGTGTCTCTGTGTGTGTGCCTCTGTGTGTGTGCCTCTGTGTGTGTGCCTCTGTGTGTGTGCCTCTGTGTGTGTGCCTCTGTGTGTGTGCCTCTGTGTGTGTGCCTCTGTGTGTGTGCCTCTCTGTGTGTGTGCCTCTCTCTGTGTGTGTGCCTCTGTGTGTGTGCCTCTCTCTGTGTGTGTGCATGCGTCCTTGTGTGCACATGTGTGTCATGGCAGGTGAGCCTGGTCAGCAAGGACTCTCCCATGCTCGATGGGCTCGACTCCGCCTCCATTGAGATGGAGCACGCCAAGGTGCGCTGCAGTAGTCGCACAGCCTAACGTCCCACAGCCCATTGTGTTCCGATAATTCACCCACCTCACTGTCTCACGCTTCTTCTCCCTCGTGTCCACCTGTGTTTCGTCTCCTCTCTCTCTCTCGCCCCTTGTCGCTCCCACTCTCCCCTTCTCCCCCCCTCCCACCGCAGCGCAAGCTGGCAGAGATGATGACCACCAACGACCCCCCAGTGCTCTCGCCCACGCACGGCCAACCACCAGCCCTGCAGAGCCCGCGCCGCCCGTCGCAGTCGCGCTCGCACTCACGCAGCAGCAGCAGCAGCAGCACCCACAGCAGCAGCCTCACATCACAACCCTCAGGCCCGTGGATGACTGATGCGCCCTGGCTGCCTGACCGGCCCCTCAGCAAGCTGCACAAGCTGGTGGGTGCAGACGCCTTATCCTGCAGGCCCACTCACTCCCAGCCCTTTCTTCCCCCTCTCTCCCTTGCTGCTCTTCGCTTGCGTTTCCCTTCCAAGAATGTATCACCGTGTCTCCACGAATAGCTGCCTGTCGCATTTCTAACCATCGTATCGTGCCGCGTTCTTCCACACGTCTCGCATGCCTCCTGGAGCTGGTCCGAACGCCAAATGTGGAGCTCATCAACGCCTTGGCGGCGCACGCCAAGGAGAAGTGTTGTGAGGACGACGTGGGCAGTGCTGTGGATACAGGAGGACTTGAGTGGCACCCTTTCCCCTTCCTCCACACCACACCTACTCAGTACCCCCCGCACCGCCCTACGTCCTTCCCCCTCAGGTGGAGCTCATCAAGGCCCTGGCAGCCCACGCCAAGGAGAAGTGCCGCGAGGACGACGTGGACGGTGCTCTGGAGGCGGAGGTGGAGGAAGCTGTCAAGAAGCTGCGCATCGTGCCCGTGCCGCCACCGCCGCGGGGCGCGCACCAGAAAGGGCAGGGGCAGCAGGGCGTGGAGCAGCAGGGCGCAGGGCAGCAGGGCGTGGGGCAGCAGAAGGGCGGGAAGCAGAAGGCGGTGCCGTACGACAGCACGGTGCTGGGCAAGGCGCGGTTCGACGAGAGCCGCATCGCCGCGGGGCTGCCGTGCGGTACAGAGGAGTTCCTGCTGATATTCGCACGGTGGAAGAAGCTGGAGAGAGATATCTACAACCCAAGGAAGGAGTGAGTGTGGGGCGGGTGGAGTGGGTGCCAGGTTTCGAGCAGACCATGCACTGGCGGTTCGGACGAAACCTGAGCGGGCGGTTGAAGGGGTGAAGGGGAAGAGTGCAGGGAGCAATGAAGTTCCTTCACTCATTGGTGCTCCCCGTTTGCTGTATGCTCATGAATTCCTCAGCTTGTGTTCTTCCTGCTCGCCGCTTTGCCATGTCCGTTGTCCCAACATCCTTTCTTCCTCCCCTCCATATCCCCTTGTGCACTGCAGCCGCTTCAACATCAGCAAGATACCAGATGTCTACGACTCGGCCAAGTGAGTCGTGTCATGCACGCACACACACACACGCACACACACACGCACACATGCTCGATTCCATGCATGCACGCACGCACACACACGCCCACACGCACACACACTCTCTCTCTCTTTCTCTCTCTCTCACCTGCACTCACTCACATGCACTGGTCTTGAATGGCACACACATCGTTCCTTATGCACACATGAAAACATAGGTATGCGCGCACACACAAGCGTACCCAGATTCATGTTTCCTTTTGCCTCAGGTACGACCTCGTGCACAATCGCCATCTGCACCTCAAGGGCCTCCACGAGCTCTTCCTGCTCGCCAAGGTACGGACCAACGCGCCAAGGTATGGACCAATGCGCCAAGTTGTGGCTCTGTTACCAATTCCAGTCTCGTTCCACTGTGCCAGCGCCTGTCGCATCTTGGTAGGGTCCCTTCGATTTCCGAGGTGCGTGATGTGGCATTAGATGCGGCACTGTATTTACTTAGTATTGCTTGTAACCCGAATGCCATGAATTGCTGATACTGCTTGCTTCCAATCTGCGTATTTGCTTCCATCATGCCCTCCCATGCCACGTATTTGCTTCCATCATGCCCTCCCATGCCACGTATTTCTTCCATCATGCCCTCCCATGCCACGTATTTGCTTCCATCATGCCCTCCCATGCCACGTATTTGCTTCCATCATGCCCTCCCATGCCACGTATTTGCTTCCATCATGCCCTCCCATGCCACGTATTTGCTTCCATCATGCCCTCCCACGCCACGTATTTGCTTCCATCATGCCCTCCCACGCCACGTATTTGCTTCCATCATGCCCTCCCATGCCACGTATTTGCTTCCATCATGCCCTCCCATGCCACGCATTTGCTTCCATCATGCCCTCCCATGCCACGTATTTGCTTCCATCATGCCCTCCCATGCCATGGCACGCCACCAGGAGATGGCCAACGGCGTCATTCCCAATGAGTACGGCATCACGCCTTACAGCAAGCTCAATATTGGAGCCAAGGTTAGTCCTCTGCTCTTCTGTCTTGGGTCTGCTTCGTGACGTCTGCCGATTTGCAGCTCACGCCAGCATCCCCCTTCAAACCCTCCCACCACCCCCTCAGGTGGCCCGGCGCCTGCTGGGCAAGTTGCTAATCGACCTGCACAACACAAGGGACGAGGCGGTGGCAGTGGGGCAGGCGATGCAGCAGCACCGGCAATGCCTCAAGGAGCAGCGCGCAGCCGCCGTGGCGGCGGCGGTGTTCAACCAAGAGCAGGCAAGGCAGCACCGCCGGTCGTCCGGCGAGGCGAAGCGCCGCTCCGATGGGCAGCCTGAGGGGGACAACGATGACAGCAACGCGCAGTATAGACTGGACCCCAAGTGAGTGCGCATCGATAGTGCTTGTGTGAACGGCTCATTCATGTCTGAGTTAGGACAGGGCTCTGTGGGTAAAGGGCAATGTTTGGACTATAGCTTCTCCTTGGACGTTTTTCATTTCTGTTGCCTGCCCCATGTCTGTGGCCCCAGGTACGCCAACGTTCGAACACCGCAGCGACATGTGCGCACTCGCCTCTACTTTACTTCCGTAAGCCCCGCACCTCTTGCGTGTGAGTGAAGTGACTTCAAGCTCAGCATTCTTAGCATCTCGCGCATCCTGTCTCTCCTCCCAACTCCCCCACCTCGCTCCATAACAACCCCTATGCACTATATACTTCCACTTCCCTGCGTTCTTTCATTTGCCCATCTGTCCATCCTCCCGTCCCCCGCAGGTGCCCCATCCCTCGGCACAGCGTGAGGAGCGTGCTTCGCTTCTGTCTCCTTCCATCCCTCCTTCCGTCCATCCTCCCATAATCCCGTGCTCCAACACCCTCCCCCCCCTCCTTTCCCCCCCTCCCAGGAGTCCCACCTGCACAGCGTGATGAACGTGCTGCGCTTCTGCCAGCTGGACGAGTCCTTGCAGGGCGAGGCGCCTCTGCTGAGCCCCGACGCGCTGACGCGCCTCTATGAGATGCGCGAGCTCGACTACCTCACGCACGTGGTGCTGCGCATGTACGAGAACGTGGAGGTGCGCTCTCTCTTCCCATACCTCCTAGGTTTTTTTCCCTAAGTATTTTTCCTTGCCCCTCCATCCCCCTCTGTCCTCATCCCTCCTAACTTTCCCTCCTCGTTTTCCTGTGTCCGTTAATTAAGCTCGCGATCGTCTTGCATCGCTTGCTCCCTCTCCCCCTTCTCTGTCCCACCTCCTGCCAAGCAGGTGGATCTGAACGACCCACGTCGCTTTCGAGTGGAGATCATGTTCAGCCCGGGCTCTTGCTGTCAGCCCTCTCGAGGTGCGTGCTGCTCGGCTGTGAGCCCTCTTGAGGTGCGTTGCTTTCGCTGTGGCACTTTCTATGCGAGTCACGCTTCGACGTGGGCCATGTGAGGATGTCATTCCTCTTACGCTGCGACGTGGGGCAGCCATCCCATTCTACCATCCCCCTGCATTCCCTCAGCTTGCCGTTGCTCTCCACCCCCCCCCCACAGACCTGCAGGTCGAATCCACTAAGAAGGGTCACACGTTGCCTGTGCTGCCCCCCTTCACAGTGCAGAACGGCGCCCCTGACCAGCTGACCAGGCCACGGTGGCCGCATGAACCGCATGCTCAGAGAATTCCCTCTTCCCCTCCCCCCTCCCGCCCCTCCCCCTGCAGGTGGCGCAACCAGTGCCTGGGCCCTTCTCCATCCAGGAAAAGCCCCCCTTAACCCTCACCCCACCCTCTGTTTTCTTCCGTCCCCTGCGCAGGTGGAGCCCACCAAGAAGGACCACACGCTGCCAGTGCTGCCCCCCTTCACGGTGCAGAACGACGCGCCCGACCAGCTCACCATGCGCCGCATGGACCGCATGCTGCACCCCTTCGCCATGCCGCCCGAGGACTTCCCCCGCCCGTGCAGCCACAGGGCTTCTCCGGCCTCTTCCTCAAGGGCACCGTCTTTGAGCGCATCGTCAGCTTCTGGCCGTTCCGCAACACCATAGGGGGCGGTAGCAAGAGCAAGGGGAGTTGCACCAGCAGCAGCGGTGCTGCCTCTGCTGCCACCGCTGCCACTGCTGCTGCCAGTGGGAGCAACACGTCGCTACCCACCCTCCCACATGCCAGCTCCAGCAGCAGCAGCATCCCAGACACAGGAGCAGCACAGGGCAGCAACGCCACAGTCACCACCAGCAGCAGCGGCAGCAGCAGCAGCCTGAGCAAGGCTGCCCAGGGCCGCTCCTCCCCCCTGCGCACCTCGTCCGGTGTTCCCCTCGTTTCCGCCTCCGACGTGCCCGCAGCAGGCAGGAGCCCCGGGGGCAGCCCCCTGAGGCTGTTTGGCAGGAGGGGGTCGGACGAAGGGTCAGGGAGCGGAGGGGGAGGGGGGCTGTGGAGGAGAGGCTCAGGGGGGCTGAGTGGATGGGGAGGAGGGGATGACGGCAGGGGAGGGGCGGGTGGTGGGGGTAGTGGGAGGGCAGCATCTGGTGCGGCGAGTCCAGCAAAGGATGGGTAGAGGGGGCCACTGCATGGGTGGACGGTGTAGTTATGGGCGGGGAACATGAGGGGCAAAGCTTCGATTTGGAAATAAAGAAAAAACGTGGGTGCCTGTCTATGTGGTATGTACCTAAGCATAGTGAGACACTGCATGCGGCAGTCTTGCCTGTTTGTCAAATTGTTCGAAAGTAGGGCGTGCCAGTATTTTCGCAAGTAATGCGTGCTACAAACAAGAAATGTAATTTTTTGAAAGTGTGTAACACTTTCAAAAAATGTGTATTGTGCGAGTAGCGAGGGCCAACGCAGCAGAGGCAGCGTCGAGGCGCTACTCACCCTCTTTTGCTTATGAAAGAGGGACATGAGGCCATTCGGCCTCACCCACATTCTTCATTTCTAGTTTCTCTAGTTCAATTTCATCAGTTTCTCGTTCAACCAGGCGAAGACCCAGTCCCTCCCCCGAGGCAAGGCTCCGACGATGCTCCTCACCGATATTTTGCAGCACAACCTCGCTAGTATGGCGTCGGCGAACAAGACTCCGAATTGTCCGACGAACAACCCCAACAATTCCGCCGAGCCCGGAACTTCGACCGGGGCAACCGCCCGTTGCCAGAAACGTCCTGTTACATAATTTTTTGGCAAGGGGCCCTCGGCTGTCGAGGTCCCGCTCGGCGCCAATCGCACTGCTCCCGAAGAAACTCGCGCGGCACGCGCCTGCACACGTCGCGACGGCTACAGGCCAGGCGGGCCCCACCGAGCACACGCCAGTTGACAAGGTCGTGCCAGCCGCCGCCACCCCTGCGTTGACCGCACAACAGCTCCAGGCGCTTCTGGCGCTGTTACACCAGCAGCCGAATGTTACGCTCGGAACATCTTCGGACAATATAACTGCTACGACCAATTTCGCCGAGAAGAAAGAAATGCCACCACCTACTCGCGCGCCGAAAGCTCTACACGTCGACAACCAGCCCCCGACTCCAGCACTCGCCAACGACACCGACGACAGCGACGACTCTGAAAACGATGATGGTGAGGCTCCTGCCAATATTGCTCGCCATCGCATTCTCGCCCCTGCCCCCCCTCTTCCCCCCCTTGGTCCCACGCCCGCAGCAACTACCTTCATGCATAAGGGCGTGCGTGACCAGGCCGAAGTCTTCAATGCTATCCAAGAGCACCTGCAGCACATCGACTTCGAGCTGCAGCACGGCAACGTCACCGGCACACTCAACAACGTGAAACACATCGAGACGCTTATTAATAAGCATTTCGAGGTGCTTGTCGTGGCGAATGAGGCCGGCTTTGAGGCCGCTGATCGCTTCCAGCTCTACCAGTCCAAGAGTGTGCTGACGTCCCGTTCCTACCAGCTGTCGGTCGCCGACGTGGCTGCACTCAAGCGCGCACGCGCCATCTACCCTCGTGGTGGTTGTCCCGGCGGCCGTGACGGAGAAATGGACCTCAAAGGCTCCCCCCTCTCACGTGCCAGCAGCCACGCTTCAAGGGTGTGTGCTTCCGCTGTGGCCAGCCAGGTCACATGGCTAACGCGTGCCCCATGGGCGGGCGTGGAGCACAAGGCCCCTCACCGGTGGTGTGAGGGGGGGGTAAGGGCAGCTCCCTTCGCCAATATGCAAGAAGCATATTGGGCTGCACAGGGGGTGCATGGCTAGTGGCCGGCCTTAGGACAAGGCAAATTGCCTACTAGACTAGGGAAGCCCTAGGGGCAGACAAGGCCGTGGGCCTAGAACCTTGTGTTATTCCATGTATGGAACATGTATGCCGTTATGGCACATTGAAACTAAGATTGCAAAAAAAAAAAAAAAAAAAACTTTTGCAAGGCCTTGATGAAAGAGAGAGAGAGAGAGAGAGAGAGAGAGAGAGAGAGAGAGAGAGAGAGAGAGAGAGAGAGAGAGAGAGAGAGAGAGAGAGAGAGAGAGAGAGAGAGAGAGAGTTAGAGAGAGAGAGAGAGTGAGTGAGAGAGAGAGAGAGAGCGAGAGGAGAAAAAAAAAGAAGAGAAAGAGAAAGAGAAGAGAGAGAAGAGAGGAGAGGAGAGAGAGAGAGAGAGAGAGAGAGAGAGAGAGAGAGAGAGAGAGAGAGAGAGGAGAGAGAGAGAGAGAGAGAGAGAGAGAGAGAGAGAGAGAGCGAGAGAGAGAGAGAGAGAGAGAGAGAAGAGAGAGAGGAGAGAGAGAGAGAGAGGAGAGAGAGAGAGAGAGAGAGAGAGAGAGAGAGAGAGAGAGAGAGAGAGAGAGAGGTGTGACGAAGGCTCGAGCGCTGAAGGAAGAAGGCATGAATATCAGCCATGCCCCCTTTGCAATTGAACATGAGCCACTCCCTCTTTGCCAACTGAATGGGAGCTATGCTCCTCCTGCAATTGACTGTGACACATCCACCCTTAAGGCAAATTGTCTGGTCTTGCTCACTAGGGTACCCATGTGATTCTTGCCACCCGACCCTTTGGTCTAGCCGAAATCGGAGAAGGATGGTTACGCAACAAACATGACCCCTATGAGTACGCAGTTACAGACAAGGACGTGACTGTCATGCATAGTCGATTGCACCACGCCCTACACTGGTGGTGCTCATGGTGCGATAGCAGCTTCATCTTGTCCATCATGGCGAAAGGATATTGGTTTCCCTGGAAGGAAGCCCCGCTATATGCCTTTTAGGATAGCAATCATGCTGGAGTTCGCACACACCTGGACTTCGCTCATGGCGCGATTCGCGACCTCATCACCTCAGGTGCCGACGTCAGGGTCCCTACGAAGGACGCGCTTATGTGCGTCAGTCCACTAAACGTGGTGGAGCAGCGCGACAAGTTTCGCCTCATTCTTGACTTGCGCAAAGTCAACAACTACCTCGACATCCCCAAGTTCAAGTACGAAGGCTTAGCCAAACTCATCCGCCCAGGTGACTGGATGTTCTCCATCGACCTAAAGTGAGGCTACCACCATGTCTAGATCCACTCCTCCTGTTGGAAGTTCTTGGGATTCCAGTTTGAAGGAGACTACTTTTCCTTCATATTGCTCCCGTCTGGGCTTGCCACTGCCCCGTTCGTCTTCACACAACTGATCAAACAACTGGCAAAGCGATGGCGGGCAAGTGGCGTGCGGGTTGTTCCATATGTCGACGACTTACTATTCTTCTGCAACTCCCACTCGGATGCACGCTCGACCTGCGCAGTTGTCGTGCAGGACCCGAAGGCAGCAGTTTTTTTTATAAACGGAAAAAAGTCACATCTACACCCCTTGCGCCAGATAGCTTTCCTCGGCCTGGAGATTGATGCAGCCCAAGGCACCTTCTCCATCGGACTCGAACGTCGAGCACCAATTTTTGCTTCACTCCAAGCCCTCATCACCCAGGAACAAGAGGGACGACCGGTTCCTATCCGGTCCCTTGCGAGAATCACAGGAATGCTGGCCTCCATGAATCTAGCGTTGGGCATTACGGCACGTGCCTTTAGTCATGAGCTCCTTCGACTTATTGCCGACGCCACCTCTTGGCACGCCAAGGCACACTTGTCGTCGACAGCAGTGCAGGAGCTGCATTTTTGGCTTGCGCAGTTCGACAAGTTCAACGGAACCCCATTCCATCTCAGTCACCAGTTCGACGCCATCATCCACGTCAATGCAAGCGCACACAGCTGGGGCGCCACCCTGACACAACTTCCCGGGACGCCCATTGAAGCTAGTGCTCGCATGCTCGAGGAACTACTGCCCACCTCCAGCACTCGACGGGAACTCAAAGGAGTCTTATGGGTCTCCAAACTTTCGCCGCCCGCATACCCAAGCGCCACGTGCTCGTTCGGGTAGACAATCAAGGGGTGGTATTCATTCTGCGCAAAGGTGGATCGCGCCACCCCACGCTCACTCTACCATGTCTAGCAATCATTCACCTCTGCCTGGAACATCAGACAAGGCTATCTGTCGAATGGATCCCGCGAGAGCTGAATGCGCACGCCGACGAACTTTCAAAAATCCAAGACCACGATGACTACTCCCTCCAAGCCCCGTGGTTCCGGCTCTTGGATCGCCGCCTGGGTCCCCAATCTATCGATCTCTTCGCAAATGTGCATAACGCTCAGCTGAAGAGGTTTTGCTCCAAGATTCCACACCCTACGGCCGCAGTGTTTGACGCTTTTTCGTTCAGCTGGCAGCACGAGCGCGGCTTCGCATTTCCTCCTCCCAACCTCCTTCCAGCCACATTACGACACGCTAAACGCACACACGCTAAGGTGACCTTGGTTATTCCCGAGTGGCCGAGAGCATCATGGTGGCCACTCCTCCAACAGGCACCTGGCGCCTAGGTGCCAGAAGTAATGGCACACATTCCCCTCACCCACGGCAGCCAGTGCCTACGCCCCGGCACACACGCACTCGCTTTCGCAAGACAAGGCTTTCCTCCTAGTCAGATGATTGCACTGAATGTCACATATATAAATTAATAATATTTGTACTCTACGCTGTATCTTTTCAGGCATTATAACGAAGTTGCAAACGCAACTACTACACGTAATCACCCATGTCCGTGCCCCTTCCACCATCCGGACATATGATTCCTACTGGCTCAAATTTCACTCCTTCTGCATGAAGATGAAGTTGAGCTACCTGTCTGCACCGGATATGACCTTGGCACTCTACCTCATTCATGCACTAAATCACTCGGCCACCACATCCGCCATATCGCTTACATGCTCCACCGTCGCCTTCGTGAATCGCATGACTGGCGAGCCCTCTCCCACGACTGGACCATTTACACTACAAGTGTGCGAATTTGCCAAACGCCATGGCCTGTGCCCCACCTGGAACAAGGAACCTTTGTCGCTCCACCAAGTACACACCATGGCCCGCCCCTTTCTGGAGTCCATCCGGCCGGCCGAGTACCAGAAAGGACTCATCCTCATCCTTATGTTCGCCGCCTTCCTACATTACTCCGACCTTGCCAGCCTCCAATGGCGTGACATATAGTTTGAGCCTGAGGCAATGTGGTTGCTCATCCCACACTCCAAGATCGACCGGGAAAGCGGGGGCATGTGGATTCCGGTCGCCGCCACTTCCGGCCCATACTGCCCGGTACGTTGCACACGACACTTTCTTCTCCTCACGGGTCACACATCCACCCCACACGGGCCATTGATCCGAGTCTTCGGGAACAGCAGCACGGCAACTCCATAGGACCACGCGCCTTCGTACACCACCATCCGGAACTGGTGCCTTGAAGCATTCACCAGGGCCGGCCTCGATAGCGCCCACCTCGGCGCCCACTCCTTCCGCAAGGGCGCTGCTACAGCGGCAGCCAGCCTGGGGATATCCGACCGGCTGTTCAAGCGACTTGGCCGTTGGCGCAGCGATAACGCCAAGGAGCTCTATGTTACCATCGCGCATGACCAACTCCTTCAAGCCTCCATGCAACTCCAAGACGCAGCCACCGCCCCCACGCCCAATCAGCACCAGCTATCTATTGAACGCCACCGCCAACCCCTTCTGCACATGTCTCAGAAGACCCAGATGAAATGAAGCACGCTGCCTTTACAAGAGGACCTAAGCAAGCTTTCACAACATGTAATTTTTTGAAAGAGTGTAACACTTTCTAAAAATGTGTATTGTGAGAGTGTAGCGAGGGCCAACGCAACAAAGGCAGCGTCGAAGCGCTACTCACCCTCTTTTGCTTACAAAAGAGGGATATGAGGCCATTCGGCCTCACCCACGTTCTTCATTTCTAGTTTCTCTAGTTCAATTTCCCCGCCCACCCACCCTCTTGTGTGTGTAGTTCTCTGTTGGACGAGAACCAAGTATGTTTCCCAGATGAAATGAAGCACGCTGCCTTTTCAAGAGGACGTAAGCAAGCTTTCACAATTTGACCAAACGACGTGCAGTGTCACTGTGGACGCGAAGACCGTGGGAAGGACAAAAACACCCGCCGGTACAGACGATGCCCAACCTTATCGCAGCTCAACCTGACGCCCAATCAGAATCGTTTCCCAAAACCCCGATATACGGGCAATGGGAGATCTGTTTGAGTCACTCATGATTGCGTCTGCGACCAACATATAGCAAGGGACAAGTCGTTGCTGATGAGGTTTCGTCGCCACAGAACTGTGCACCACCGTCGCCTGATCGTTTCACAAGAGTCGCACACTGGCAACAAACATCGCCAGACAAGCCCCCCCCCCACAAATACTCGCCCATTTTGCCATGTGCTCGTGCGAAAGCCTCATTTTCCCGTGGTGAGGGCATGCGAAATACTTGAGCGATTGAATCCCCGGCACCCTCAAATCTTGTGCGACTCTGACGAGCTTCGTATGTACGAATCTGAAACCCGGAAAAAAACCAGTCGACGCGGGTAACCAGTCCACCCCCGGGAAAGGGACCAATCTCGCCAAACCCGGGTGGGAGAGAAGTTGCGCCACACCAAGCCGGGTCGCAAATTTGTGGCATGGAGAAAAACAGCAGGCGCGAACTACACCCGCCCATCTGCTCCAACCCGACGGAGTGACGGCTGAAGTGGTGTGGTTGCCGGCTTGATACGTGTGAGGACTTAGAATTTCTGCTGCAGGTTGGGATTCTGGCGAATTTTGTGACGTGCAGTCGTGTGGCGACATTCGCCAGATCCAACTCGACGAAATTCCAATGCCCGTTCAATGACGCGTGCCAATAGTGCTCATGAACCTAGATGCGGGTAGTTATGTGATTGTAAAGTGTACATCGGGCTATGCCTATGTGTCATCCAATTCCGCGTGGAAATCGCACGTGTCTATTTTCGGCACTGTAGTAGTGTTACATTGGTATTTTTGGTAACTTAACAAATAAATGTATAGTAAATAAACGCTTGTGACACGCCCTAAGGGGTCTTCCAAACCAAGAAGGGTGGTATGACATGATATGGTACTTCAATGTTTTCTTTTTGGAACGTACAGACCGTATTCCCGAAGTGCAAACTCCAAGAATGTTGGAATGAGGCACTTAGCAAATAGGTCGGTACCCCCCGGGCAAATTTGTGTGTGTCGTTTCCAAGAAGGTAGGAGCTCTGTCTTATGCGCAGCTGGTAGGGGCGGCGACGCTGTCATTACCTGCGACAGCATCCACGTGGGCATTTCGCACGAGCAAACACTTTCAAGGCAGATGAGGTCGCTGTTATACAGAAACGGCAAGGCATTGCAAGCGCACACCAGTCTCGGCAATTTGTGCAGCACACACACTCACATCAGCGGTCATCCAGCCCTTAGCGTTGGCGCGCCACGCGCAGTACTTCGCAGTGTTGAAGTTCTCGCGTGCGAAACTGCACGGGCGCTCGTATCGATGGATGATGAGAGGCTTGTAAATCATCGAGCTTGTGCCACGGTCGCTCGTATCGTTAATCAGCAGTGCCACGGTCAGGCGA